GGTTTTTACATGTTCTTCAAATGATCATTGTCGACAAAGACAATGTAAATCACTATTTACAGAACATTTATAGCTGTACTAAAAGCTGTAAATTTCCTGTAATTTTATTTTACAAAACCCTAACATGTAAATTGTAATTTACAAAGAATGTAAATCAAGATTTACATACTGTAAATTGAAATTGACATGTCCATGTAAATTTTCAACTTTTCCAGTGCACACAAAATGATCTTGCCGTTTTTGACTACAGCACAAGGAAGACATGTGCAGATACATGCAGTGTAAAACGTGTAGGCAGGCCTGAGTAACAAAGAGTTTCTTAACGTTGAACTTTTTCATTTTGCAAATATCAAAACGCACCCCTAAATGGCAAAAGACTTTATGGGCTTGTTTGCAAGCGAGACTGTCCATACATCACAATTAGTTCGTTAATGAGAAATGCCTCATAACACCCTTTTATAATTTATTTTCCAAGTTCAGTGGCTCACAGCCACTTTGATTCGCTGTTGCCGTAAAAATAAATTAAACACAAACATTTTTTTTTTCATGGCCTGCATTCGTATGGAAATGACGTCGTCTCACGGGCAATGTCCAAAACTTTGTAGTGAATTATTAAACTAGAATTTTAGGACTGTATGACGTCATTTTTTCCAATTATAAAACTTAAAGTATGATCAAATTATGGGACTCAGCGATGGAGTGCTTAACTTAGAAAGTAAAATTTCGTGTCTCTGTAAGTCTAAAGAGTAACACACGGTGTTTTAGAAAGGAAAAAAACAATAAATCAAATTGAAAGCTCTTTTCTATATTTTTCAGATTTTGAATCGCTATTCAGCAAAGTAAACAAAGATGGAAAAGGTCTCGAAAGAAAGAAACCTCGCTTGAAGCGTGTGCCTATCTGCTCATGTATTCTGGTAACAGGATTGAAAAAAGAAACAACCGATGACACAATAGCACTGTACTTCGAAAATGAAAAACGGAGTGGAGGAAAAGACGTCAGCCAAGTGGAAAGAAAAGGAAAAGACCAAGCCTTGGTTTATTTCGAAGATCCTTCAAGTAAGATACATTTATTATTCAAGC